ATATATATTACATATATATATATATATACATTTTTTAATGTTTATTTCTGAGAGAGAGACAGAGTGCGAGCAGGGAAGGGGCAGAGAGAGAGGGAGACACAGAAACCGAAGCAGGCTCCAGGCCCCGAGCTGTCAGCACAGAGCCTGATCCAGGGCTTGAACCCACGAACTGTGAGATCATGACCTGAGCCGAAGTCAGCTACTTAACCGACTGAGCCACCCAGGCGCTCCTGTAGGATGAGTTTTAAAGACATACTTCTTGTTTCTCCCTTTCACTTGCATATGTTTACCTCGAAAGAACAGATGAATACATGCATCATTGTTTCCAAAGATGACTAACTATAACCAGAAACTGTTTGAGAGCTTCACCTACAGGTAATCAAATTGTTAACTTCCCTTAACTTCTTCATCTAATTATTCACAAGCACAGGTAATATCTGGCTCCTTATGTTCCTCCCTCTTCATTGCCACTGATCCTATTTCAGTCTTTCTTCATCTCTCTTCTTGAACCACTGCCTTCACCAGTTCAACATGACTATTTTTTTTTATCCCCCTCTAACGTATTATCCACATTAAGGTCAGAGTAAACTTTCTAGAATATAACTCTAGTAACGTCATTCCTTACTTAAGAATTCTTCAACAATTCCCTGATGCTTACAAAATAAAATATTAACACTCCAAGTTCCAGTCTCACTTCTAATATTATAGTATCCCATCCTCTCTGAAGTACCTATGTGCCTATCATATGCCAGGCAGTATACCAAGTGCTTTATACACCTGTATTACCTCATTTAATTCTTGCAACCACCCTATGAATTATTTCACTCATTTTGCAGATGAGGAAACTTGTCCAACATCTTACTACAACTGGTGAGTGTCGCCATCAAGATTAAACTAAGGCCTAAGTCTGAAGCTTATATTCTTAACCACTGCATTATACTGCCTCTATCCAAATCAGAAATTTGAAGTATTAAATAAAAAACAAGACAGGCATAAATTATTGGTGGTTCTCAGACCATTTGAGCTCCGCAACTGAAAACTACCGCAATTGAAAACGACCATCATAATCATTTGTTATTTATCTTCAGTTAATATTCATATATATCCATCAGTTTTCAAATGCTAGATTATATGGTGTGTATTGTGTTGTGCCGTATAGGGAACACAGTATCTTTAGTGAGTTTTATGACTGAGGTTAAAAGCTAATGTCTTTAAAATATACCTTTAGAGATTCTTGTATAAGAGGTGGTAGAGTATTATGAAGCTTAAAGCAGTGGTTCTGAAAGTTCAGAATGCATCAGAATTACCCAGACAACTTGGTAAAACCCAGGGCCCCACCCTCAAAGTTTTTACTTCAGTAGGTCTAAGGTGGCATTTCTAACAATTTCCCATGTGATGCTAATGCTGCTGGTCCGGGGACTAAGTTCTGACAATCACTGGCTTGTGAGAAACACATAGCGCAGCAGATGCCATGCATTAGGTATTTATCTTCCTTTCTCTTCCTTTCCTCTCAAACTCAGATGTTATTCAGGAACAAAAATTAAGAAACCTTTTAAACCATCTTTATTCACAAGGAAGAAGCAGTGTAAGACCTAAGATCAGAAAACTCTTTTACCCTGGCAGGGCACATATTTCTTCTTCCATTTATTTATGTGCTCCTTAAATCCAAAATCATGGTAGCTTACAATAAGAGACATGTACAATACAATACAATACAATACAATACAATACAATACAATACAAAACAATAAAAACAGCTGTCATTGTTCTGTTTCGACTTGGAAAATAAATATTATACCTGAACTGTCTTCATGCCTTTCTTATGACTTAAAATTCAGAAGAATTTCACACTGAAGGGTATTTCCTGCTATCCCATATACAAATTAAGAATGGAATTCAGAAAGGGAGACTATAAAGCCAGCATCACCACTCTCTCCTCCAGAGTGTATTCACAATTAGAAGTATGTGAGTGACTATAATGCATGGTCCATCTAGGTAGCTGGAACAAGGTGTGGCATAAAGATTAATGTTCTTCTAATATTAACTGATTATTCCTTATATGCCAGACACTTAAGACTATATGGGAGTCTTAAGGCCTGCTCCTTCATCCCAGCTCTCAAACTAACTAGCTGGGTCATTCTCGGTGATGTAGCCTCCCTGAGCTTCAGTTTCCTTATCAGCAAAACAGGGATAATATCACATTTCCCATCTCCATAAATGTAGGGTATTGCTTTCATCACACCAGATAAATGACATTCTCTAGTCTAAATTCAAGCTGGCTACAGCTACCAACAGTTGTTGTGGTGCTCTCCATTACTGAGTATGATACCAATTTGCTACAACCTTCTTTACTTCTATGGATTTTGTTTGAATCCTCATTTTAAACCTAATTAAGGAAAAACAAAACTATTGAGAATATCATCTTTTTGACAAGGGAATGACATAAAGGAGGGATATTGTTTAGCTACTGCTACCTTAGCAATAGAAAAACTAAAAAACATAAGATCTAAACAACTAAAGAAAAAGGGAAAAAAAAGGAATATTGATAAACAAACTTAACAGCAAATCCAAGGTATGAGCCTTATTTGGACCATGATTCAAACATACCAACTGTAGCAGCCCACGTGTCCACTGACAGATGAATGCATAAAGAAGATGTGGTATATATATAAAACAATATTATTCAGCCATAAAAAAAAGAATGAAATCTTGACATTTGCCACGACATGGATGAAGCTATAGAGTATAATGCTAAGTGAAATAAGTCAGTTGAAAAGGAAAAATACCATATGATTTCACTCATATGCGGAATTTAAGAAAAAAACAAACCAGCAAAGGGAAAAAAAAAGAACTGATAGTTCCCAGAGGGGAGGTGAAGGGGGGTGGGGAGGATATGTGAAATAGGCAAAGGGGGTTAAGAGTACACTTATCATGATGAGCACTGAGTAACGTGTAGAATTGTTGAATCACCTATATGGTACACCTGAAACTAACATAACACTGTATGTTAACTATACTGGAATTAAAATTTTTCAACTTAATAAAAAGTTTTTTAAAGGAGTAACAGTATCAAATTGTTATTCACAAACAAACATACCAACAGTAAAAAGACATCCTGGGGACAATCGAGAAAATAGTGATATGGACTAGGGAATGGAATAGTGTTAATTTTAAGTATGAAAGCTGAATAATGAAATGTCTTTATTTTGTTTTAGAAAAACATACTGTTTCTAGGGGTAAAGTGTCATTATTTCTGGAATTTGCTTTAAAGTACTTCGGCAAAAAAAGTTAGACAATATGGCAAAATGTTTATTATTGCTACAGATGCTGAGAACTCAGGAGTTTCATATCCTATTATCTCTATTTTTATGAGTTTGAAGATCTACATTATAAAAAATAAAAAAATATGAGAACTACAGGCCAATATCCCTGATGAATATGGATGCAAAAATTCTCAATAAGATACTAGCAAATCGAATTCAACGGCATATAAAAAAGAATTATTCACCATGACCAAGTGGGATTCATTCCTGGGATGCAGGGCTGGTTCAACATTCGCAAATCAATCAACGTGATACATCACATTAACAAAAAAAAAAAGAGAAGAACCATATGATCCTGTCAATCGATGCAGAAAAGGCCTTTGACAAAATCCAGCAC